AAAGTCGTTGCCAAGCGACGAAAACCCAACCCCGATGGCAAACACCGCGGTTGCGGGAGGGCGGGCTCAAATTCGGTCAACTTCTATCTTCGTCTGGACTGGGCGTAGCGCCCTCGGCATGAGAAAGCGTTTGCCTTGCAAAGAGATGGGGGGACGGGCGGCCTCTCATTAGCCAGGGCTTAAGACTATCCCATCTTCTTTCATAAACGTAAGCAAGAGATGTGCACAATTTTTGTAAAGCATGCCTAAATCGAAGGAACCGAGTGCAGACTCCAGTTCTCGGTGTGCGCGGACTACGGCGAGTATCGTATTTTTGTACTGGCACGGCACGTCGAGAGATTCTTGCTGATTTCTTGGTGCTCGTGTGGCGCAACTCAACAAGACACACATCCCACACTCGGCGTAACACATGCAGGTGGTGACAGGAATCATCAAGTACGTGCCCCAGGTGATCCTCAACATACGGCGGCACTCCACGGCCGGGTGGACTATCTGGAACGTCATCCTGGACCTTACCGGAGGCCTCCTCAGCGTTGTTCAGGTGCGTCAAGCTGAGGTGGTCCACCGTCACGATTTTTTCAAGTGCCCCAAAGCTTCCCACAAGAGAGGAAGAAACAGAGCGTCATGTTTTCGGCGGATGGAAGCCACGGTTGCTTGTCGAGAATGAAACTGTCGAGAAACAAAAGGGAGCTTGTCATCACACCCACGGCATGGTTTGTGTAACCCGAGGTTAACCGAGAGACAGGGCCCGGAGTCTACCTATGTTGTCACGCAAGCTTGCAAAAGAAATCGTACGGTTTATCGGGTATGTGGTGCATGTGAATCCCGATGCACCTGACCGCAATCGGAACAAGGTTTGAGTGCGGAACGCCGGCAGCTGTGCTGCTGAGGCGTCCTCAGAGTCTGTTACTCAAGAGAAGTAGAAGTAGAAGTACAGAAGTTGATGTAAGAAGTTCCACAAGTAGAAAGTGGGTCGACTTGGCTTGCACCCCATTGTCGCACCATCACGCCTTCACGCCGGTTGTGCTCTCCACAGATATCGAGGATAAATTTCTCCTTCCAACAATATGATGAATTGCTGGGGGGAGTCCAGCAATCGAACTGGAAACCCGACGGAGTTCTTGGCATCTTCCCCGCGATGGTATGTGTACCCCCACTGAATCGATTTGACTCTATTGTTGCACGTGTTTTCTCCCCACCCCTCCTGCCGTGCATGTGTGTCGAAGCTGGTGCTCGACTGCTGGAATACAGGGGACTGGGGGGGCATCGCGGGTTACCCAGTCAAGTTCGCAATCGGGTTTGTCAGCGTCTTCTTTGACCTCATATTCTTGTTTCAGGTAACCGCCGAGTCATGGATGCTTCCTTTTTCTTTATTCGTGTAAGTATCTGCTGCAGCGACGGCTGCAGTACGTCGCAGTTTTATCTGCTGCACGGCCGGGGAGAGGGGAAGGACGAGTGATTATCGTGGCGTGTCCTGGTTGACCACAGACGATTTCGGGTTTTCTGGAATCCCATGCCCCTCCAATTCTTCCCCTCTTATCAGACGACCGCAGCGCCACCTCCTCTCGACTTTGAAGTTCTTGAGTCCGTTGGCAATGTTTGAGAAGTATCATCAACACACACACGTACGTCGTTTTCGTGTTTTTGTGTTTGTGTGTGTGCTTTTTTTTTTTTGCTGTGACACCGCTGTCTCCCTTACCCTTCCCTCCCCCGCTTGGTTTTCCTGTCCCTTCCTGTGCCTTCCTGTGCCTTCCTGTGCCTTCCTGTGCCCTCCTGTCCCTTCTTGTCCCGTGCGCGCAAGCAGCACTACGTCTTGTACCCCCAGCCAGGGGCTGTCATCAAAGTGGAGGGGTTCCTGCCGAGCGGGACGGCGAACGCTCCGCTGTTGCGAGAGGGGGCTCCTGGCGGGGGGGGCGGGGGTTGGTGGATTGACGAGGAGGATGATCGATCTTCCTCCAGGGAAGAGTGAAAACAAAACTCGAGCACGTACAAGGGCGAGAGTTACTGAGAAGTTACACGGACGGCAGGTGTGTTGTCATTTCGGCAACGCGAGCCCAGGTGTATTGGACAGCTGATGCTTCCGGAGGAATTTTGAGGGAAGCAACAGATTTCAGATTCAATACGTGGCGGACTCTGCGGTCGCGTGGGTCATCCTTTCGTTTAAATGCAACCAAACACCCACCTTGCGCGAATACACTTTTGTACTGGTCACATGTCTGGATGGGGCCTCCGTTTCCTGTTTTTCTGCTTTAATGTTAATTTCTCCGGGTCCGATCGCCTCCCAGTCCGGCTTTTGTGATGTGTGATTTCGTTTGTTTCAAGTTTTCTGATTCTACAAGTGTGCACCCTTCTGTGGGTAGGTTGGCATGTGAACACGGAAGGCCCGGATATTACAAGACACTCCATGGAGACCGGAACGTTTATTTTCGTCTGGATCTTAAGATTCATCCGATTGATTGGGCCAATTTATATCGCCAATCCGAATCGGAAAATGGAGACGATGGTTTTATGGATGTAAGAATACAGATTTTGTAATTTTTCTCTTCGGTTCGTTGAGGTTCTCTAGGCTCTTCCGAGTCTAACAAACGTGCGTCAGTTGTGGGAGCTGTTGGGCTTGCGAAACGTCACACTGCAGCTGGCAGCCAGCTGTGGGTTGGTCCTGCCGCACCTGCGTTGTTTTTCATCTTGCATCACCCCTTGATGACGCTGTGCTCTCATGAGCCCACTCCGGATGGATCGCTTGTCTTGTCTATATTTGTGTTTTGTGGTATAGTCGGTTGTTAGGTGCACGGATCCGCCGGATCTATTGTTCCCTACGCATACGCCCAACGCCGTACTAGGTTGCTCCCATACCACGTAGTGCTGCTCCGATCTCATGATCCATGATCCGCTTTAATTATTTTGATTTTTTCGGCCCGCGGAGGTCGCTTGAGAACAGTGCCGCAGGACAGGGTGCGTGTCGGGCAGTTGCCCCCAAAGCCTCGTTTTCTCTCTTTAGGTGCGGTGCTGTTGACGGAGTGGTGGTCGGGAAATTCACGTGGAACTTGTGCAGGGTACTCAGGTTCAGGACAGGATTATGTGTGTTGCGTACACGTGAAGGTTAAGGTTCAACATGAGATCGGAACAACGGTTCGCCGAAAGCTACGACTGATCATGCATCCCAGCGGGTAGGTTGCCAGTGGTGCCCGTCAAGACCAACGCTCAACGGGGTCGACGAGTTGACGTTAAACAATCATGTACCAAAATCTCCTTCAACTGTTGCAGCGGTAAAGCTTGGTCGTTCTCCCAACTTCCGTGCGCAAACAGCCCGTACGCCATGAAGCTGCCGGAAGCATCAGAGACCAATGTATGTAAGTCCGACGCATGTTCGATTAATCCGCTTTTGGGTCCAGTTGGTGCATCCGGCGAGTTGAGAAAATACAACTCAAGCGTTCGGGCATGATCGACCCGAACAAACCGGCAACACCGCATCTAGGCCGATCAAGCAACCAAGTTCCATGCACTTACTCAGCACTCAACGAGCAACAACCCCAAAACTGATTTTCGTTTTCGACAATAGACGTCCGAGAACAGATTTGTCTCTGAAGTACGTACACACGGGTGTCACGCAAATCCGCACCCAATAGGGCACACGCACCCCCCCCGCGCTCTACTGCCTTCTTCCCCGCCCCCCCCCTCCCCCCCCGCTCGCCCATCACTTGGGCACCCCGTGCTCCATCGTCCAGCCCCTCCTTGTCCCCATGCCGCTGGGGTACAGCTGTTCCCAGCCGGTGCCGCTCAGAAACCCGATGCAAAGGTGGAACAAGCCATCGGGGCACGAGTGCACGTAGTACCAGACCGCGAGCCCCCCGGCCCGCTTCCCCGCCACGGGTGACGACGCTCCCGGGCGAACCGTGTGCCCTTGGCCCACGGGAGCCAGTACAGTCCCCGACCCGACAGTAAGCACCCGAGACTCTGCCTGAGGCTGGCCATTCTTCGGGTCCGTCATGAGGTGGACCTCTCCCATCGCCACCCCAAACAGCACCCCGCCACCCTCCCCCGAACGGGAAGCCTCGACGTTTGGCGGCGCGGGCACGGCGCAGAGCTCGGTGGTGTTGAAGTTCGAGGGGTCGTAGCCCCCGAGGAAGATGTTGGAGAGGCTCGCCTGTCCGGGGTACCCGGCAAAGAAGGTGACCCGCTGGTCCTTCATCGCCCACTTGACGCGCACCGCCTGGCTCCGGGTCGGCGGGATTCGAGGACAGAGCAGGGACGGACGGTAACGGAAGCATAAGCACGGGG